GGTGAAGCCGCCGGCCCTCGAGGCGCGGAGGGCCGCAATGGCAGCAGCCCCGGAGCGGGGCCTGAGGCGGATGGCCTCGGAGGGAAGGCCGCGGAAGGCTCGGCCGGTGGCAGCTTGGCTGCTGTGAGCCCCAACCCTGGCGACAAGCCCATGACCCAGCGGGCCCTGACCGTGCTGGTGGTGGTGAGCGGCGCTGTGCTGGTGTACTTCGTGGTCAGGACCGTCAGGTGAGGCATTGCCTCGATCCCCACCCCCCTCCCCCGACACACACACACAGACACAGACACACACACACACACTGGCCTAGAGCCTGCGGACAGGTGATGTCTATGATCCGGGTTTGACTCCCTTCCTTGCCTCCAGTGTCAGAGACCTGAATTCCAGACCATCTGGTTGACTGTCTTAATGGCCCTTGCTCAACCTTACGTCCGTGACACAAGCTGATACCTTTCATTTATAAATCAGCAACCCACCTCCAGCATCTCGTTCCCCGAGGCTTGCCTCTGCCATAGCCATAAAAGACACCCTTACCTTGAAGTGGAAGTGATAGCCCATCCCTCGGAATTTTGATTGCACAGCTGTGCAGTTCTCTTACTGCTCTGCAGTTGGTGTAGCTAACTTGTCGGCGGGTTGCCTGTTAGAGTGCACTCCTGTGTGTGAGGCAGGGTTCCACAGACAGTAGTTCAAAAGCGCCTGATGCGTGTTTCACTTTTATAAACCTTAGGTGTCCCTCCTTGCTAGTTGTATTTCTTAGTCGGTGCCCCGAATCTTCCCCTAAGTTGCACTCAGTTAATTGGGTACTGCATCTCTGGAAAGGTGTCAAACAGAGCAAGACCTCCATCAGAAAGGGCCATCCAAGAGAACAGCTGAGGAGAAGCTAATGGCGCAGATGGTATTTTGTGATATTTGCCCTGGTTTATTGCTTTCCAAATTAGTTCACGCTTTCCCCATCATTACACGCTACCATTATTTAATAATATATGTTGTTAAACTGTCAAAACAAAATTTCGTTTTTAGCAAAGTGTGAATGGAAAACCGACCTGACTTGATTTAAAAGTGTTTGATTAAAAAAAACTACGATGCTTTTGGCGATGCCATCCAAGGAACAGTATGGAATTTGTTTTTATGACACATCTTAATATTTGGTTGCTGTGTTTAAAACTATTTGCCATGTAATACATTATCTTGAAGCGTTTAAACTATAAAATATTTACCAGAAAGGTTTGAAATTCTACACTGAAGCTGATATTAAGGAAATACCTCTTGTCAAACTTTGTTGTTGTATATATAAAAATGAAGAAGAATCAGAAAAGGGTAATGAATTGCTCCCTTATTTTCCAAGTTGATATGTATTTGAAACTAGATTTTCTTTGTAGCCACTAACCAAATATTACAAATGATTGGATGCAGAAGCAGATTTGAAAATCTAGTGTTTTTCTTTCCTGTTTTTATTTTGTATATACAGTTTAGACCAAAAGTTAGATTTTGAAGAAAAATATTGTGCCATTCTTTTTACTATTTTTATTTTTATGAACCGTTAACATCCTAAAACATTTTTCTCAGTTTTCACTAACAATTTAGATATTGTTGTGTGCAATCCACATGTATAGCTCCCTAAAGCCTGTAATAACTATTAAGAATGGAAAGGAGTTCAAAGCATTTGAAAAACCCCTTGTAGAAGCAGTGTTATTGATCTGAAAACCATTGATTTAAAAAGTTCAGAAAATCCACAACCACTCTCAGTCACTGTGAAGTTAGACAATGTTGAAAAGGTATTAAAACCTGTGACTACCAAAGTGAGACTGCTTTATGTTAACAAATCTGAAAGGAAAATAATGTTATTTAATATCATGTGTAATTCCTGTAAGGTACATAGAAAATGTGGTAGAATGATAATTCGCTTGTTGTGTTTTCTCTTCCTCGTCATTCTACCTTATTTCATTTATAATCTTACCTACACATGTTTACTGCCTTTACTTCTCTACATTCATTTCTGTTAAACTTGAGAGGACTCAGCCTTCTCCGGTTCTATTAGATGATTCAGTAACATGTGGTATAAGAGCAGCCAAATTCACAATTGGGCCTGATCAAAACTGTGTTGCTGCATCTAACACATGGTGTAGTCCCAGTTCTAAATTTAGTTGGTTGCCTTACATCCGTAGCCTGATTGGTGCTGATGGAACCAGGGGATCTCCAGAACTCACATTCTTTACTTCCGACTATGCTTTTCATCCTCATTATGGCTCCCTTTCCAAAATACGTGTGACAGCGAGCCAGAGTTGCTTTTATGCCAAGGGAGAATACTCACAGATCATTTCTTTAACTGATGATGTGAGGTGAAACTGAATATTTTATTTATAAGATTTTATTGTATTAAACTTTATGCGACTTCAAACATTTTTCTTTAACTCAGCATCACAAATATTTGGATAGAAATAATTTATACTGGCAGTCTAGAAATTTTCCAAACAATGACATTCTTTCTGTAGAGGAACTTGAATACATTACAAGAGTGCTGTAGGGGCAAAGTAGACTTCACAGGATGAATACAGCCTCTCTGTGAAAATGTTCTTGCCCGTTTTATTCTTTACCCTGTGCCCATTACTGAACTTTGTAGCACTGTGCACAGAGAATAAAGCATACTGTTGCTTTGTGAATGAGCTTTAATTCATTCTTTATGTTGCTGAATAGGTAAGTGGTGAGAATTAGAAACTTAAAGGATAATTACTACTTGCTAATTGATAGAACAGAGAAATATGAAGATCTCAATTACTACTAGGATTTCTTTCTTTTCTGTAGGACATTCTTTCTATACTAAAATGTATAAGGCCAGATGCTGTGGGACAATGGTCTGTACCCTGTCGCTTATATCTTAAATAAACGCTGATTGGCCAGTAACGAGTCAGGAAGTATAGGTGGGCGACCCGGCAGGAAGTAGAGGCAGGACAACGAGAATTCTGGAAAGAGGGAAGTTTAAGTCCACAGTTGTGATCCAGACACAGAGCAAGCAAGATGTGACTGCCTTGCCGAAAAATGTACCAAGCCACATGGCTAGCATAGACAAGAATAATGGGCCAATTTACGATTTAAAATTAATTAATAAGAAGCCCGAAATACTAGGCCAATCAGTTTATAACTAATATAGACCTCTGTGTGATTCCTTTGGGGCGGAACTACTGAAGGACCGGGTGGGACAGAAACCTCTGTCAACAGCCAGAAAACAATCATAGAGAGTTATTACAATTTTAAGCGTTGTATGGTGATTATGTAAAAATAGTTCCTATTATAAATTTATGATTAATTATTCTTACCTTAAAGCTGAGGTTCTTTTGCCCCCCCCATGATATGTGTGTGTGTGTGTGTGTGTGTGTGTGTGTGTGTGTGTGTGTGTGTTTTATTCAGTGTGATGCTTAACTTTTCCTTCTTCAGGAAGGTCCTTGACTTCTCCAGTCTCAGAACTCTGAAACAGAGATGAAGAGCTCTTTGAAGTGGTGGCGATGAGTACCAAATTTAGCTTTGATAGTCTTCATTCAGCCAGTCAGTATTTATTCAGCTGTCCTACACTGGGCAATTGCAGTGTCGTTTTGGGATAAATCAACATTATGGTCCCCGTGGTACTGCCAGCCTGGAGGAGCACAGGGACATTCATCAAACAGTTAAAACAGATAATTAACAATCACTCCAAAGGCGCACTCAAGTTCCCTCTCCTCAGTCTGTCCCCCTTGGTAGTGATCCTTCTTCACTTTCCATCTTGGCTTCCTTGGATGACAAGAACCATCTGTATGTACAATTATTGTACAACAATTAAAAGTAGAGTTATAATATTTATGTCTGGGTCTTATTAATACTTAGTGTGTAGAAACTACATGGCATTAGTTTAGTTTAACCAGAACCTGTATTCTAAGCATAAAGTGGAGCTTTCTTCAAAGAATCTTGCTTTGTAGCTAAAACACTCCTTTTGAGATTTTTATCTACCATGCATATAAACTAACAAATATCAATATTAATTGATGTATATCATATATAATGTCACAAAATTTGAGTATTTTTCTAATGCTTGCAAAAATCTTCAAAGTAGCTGATGTTCATCTGAAGGTAGTTGAGGCTGAACAAGGTCAAGGGTTTGTCTGGAGCACATCTGTAGGACCTGCCCAAATCCAAGTCCACCTGAACCTAACATAACCAGTGACTGTGCTGTCTGCTTTAACAAATACACCTTATTCAAGGTGATGCTGTACGAGAAGATGGCCTGTTCATTTATGGGGAAATGAAATGGGTAGCCATTCTTTGTAAAATATGATTTTTGGTGAATGTAACTTTCTAAGACTTTACAAATTGAAAAAGTAAAACAACCTTAATATTTGATGATACTCATTACTGTTCTAAACTTTAAAATACTATAGTGCTATATCAGTCCTATATCCTGCCCTTCAAAGATTTTCTTGATTTGCTATATATAGTCAGAGAGTGGATATATTTTAAAGTAATTACTACTGCTAGACATTGCCTTGTCTGCTTTACTTTTTCTTTTCCTTCCTTCTTTTCTCCCTCCCCTCCCTCCCTCCTTTTCTTCTTTCCTTCCTTCCCTTCCTTCTTTCTTTCTTTTGAGATAGAGTCTCACCATCTGACATTATGTGGCATATTTCTTGCTATGTAGAACAAGCTATATAGCCTTAAACTCGGACACATACCTGCCTCTTTGCCTGAGTGCTGAAATTAAAGCTATGTGCTCCCATGTCCAGCTTGCTATCTGGTTTCTTAAGATTTAGAGTGACTACAGGACTTTCACTACCAATTATAAAATTATGTCATTGATGAAAGTTCAGCTTAGACAGTGACAGAGATAGAAAGTTTGTAAAGCTATTTCCAGCCATGAGTCACTGCCATTAACTTAATAAGTATTGCTGTGTGCCTGTCAGCTCTAGGCCTTGTGATAGGAACTAGCAGTGCATAAGGTTGGAATGTGAACAATTTGAAAGAATCTGTTTACTTGTTCAGATATCCTTCGGAAGTGTCGTTCGTGCTCTGGTTTGTCATCACTGAGACAAGAAATATATATTGAATATATACTATATAGAGAGATAAGAGTGCTTTGAAATATATTTAGCAAGTATGACTCCTCAAGGAATTGTATTTTTTGAGAAATGAAACTTTCCCAAATGATTATGCCTACTGTGAATAATGCAGTGTATAATATAGTAAGTTGTGTGGCCTACTCTCCTGATGT